TTAACAGTTAAATTTGTCTATAAAAGATCTAATTTCTGTATACTAAAAAAACGATTTTTCTTTCCTCTCTGATATAAGAATCGCATGGCAGAAGGGTAAAGAAAAAATACAAATTAAAAATTATAATTGAACTTGGCCTTTAATGACAATGAATGAAATACACAAATTAGTTCTTGTATAGCAGAATGGAGTATCTGAAGTGTCAGTATGCCTGTTAATCAGTAACTTCTGGTAGCATGTTAAAAATTCATCTTCAGTTTCATTCATAATGAATTCATTTTTATTATTTCTGGACCACACCAATTTCCCATGATGTGATGGAAAAAATTGTAACATTCAAAAATTGAATTAGATCACACACAAAACGACAACTTACTCAGATTATAATAATAAGATTTGGCTTATTCATTGACAAGTGAGAGCCCAGCTATGTCCAGAATCTGCAAAGACAGTGCTGGAGAACAGCAAGATGTTTCAGAGACTTCAAACACCCTGAAAGAAGTACATTTACTTAGATGAGGATGAAAAGGCTCTCTAAATACCAGGTTTCTTTGCTTTTATTAGAATTAAATCAATTCAGCATTGATGGAATTGCAGATCAGGGAATCCCAACTGGCAATCTTAAATGCCTTTGATAATAAAAAAAATTATTAACCAATATAAGCAATTTGATATGCAAAATCTTTCAAAACATGGGCTCATTGGAGGAAACAGTAAGAAGTGATGCTAGGAATTTAGCATCTTCCTTGGCGGTAGGAGAGCTAGAACTGTCTGATAGCAACAACTAATAGCTATTCCTACATGAAACACTCTATACATATTGTCTAATTTAGTCCTCGCACAAACCTGATGAGGGAGGTATTATTAACCATCTCATTTTGTGAGCAAAGAAACTAAAGTTCAGAAAAACATAAATGGAAAGAAAAGAAATACCTGAACCTGCATGACTGTACATCTGAGACAAAAGAGTATGGAGAATGAACAGGGAACTACAGGTCAGGAAACTGGATTTGGAATATTTGACTCCCTTATTTATGCCTCTCTGGGTCTAAATTTCCTCATCGTTAAAACAAATTGAGTATCCACTTTTCCTGTTTACTGCCCACGGCTTGGAAAACACTTGCCAATGATAAAGAACTGAAAAATGTAGGACATTGTTATTATGCTTGGGGTGAACTGGCAAGCTTTGGGGATGGCCTGGTCTCTTGCTATTTCCCCCACCATAAACTACATCCTTAGCTGTGGAAACTGCAAGAGAAAGGATGCTGCTGGAAGTACTAATTTGCCCCTATCATTAGCCCCTCCCAAAACTTTGGCCTTCTGTCTTTGATCATTCTCCCTCCCAGGCCCAGCCATGTTCCTTGTCCCACTCTGGTGATCCCAAGGCCACACATCTTTAAAGCAAGCAAACAGCCTCTCTTGAAGGGCTGTGCCAGGCAAGTTCACATGGTCTTTCCTTCCTTTTAAATTAATTAATTTATTTATTTATTAACATTTATTTTTGAGAGAGAGAGGCAGACCGCAAGTGGGGCAGGGGCAGAGAGAGAGGGAAACAAAGAATCCAAAGCTGGCTCCAGGCCCTGAGCTGTCAGCACAGAGCCCAGTGCTGGGCTGGAACCTGTAGACTGTGAGATCATGACCTGAGCCCATGTCGGACACTTAACTGACTAAGCCACCCAGGCATCCCATAGGCTTTCCTTCTTTTGACAAGGGAGCAGATTTCCTCCTTTTTGCTTTCAAGGGATGTCAGGATTTTCAATAAATGTATAACTGAAAAACACCAGTGCCTAAAAGCCTATGCAGAAGTAGAGCTTGGCTGCAACATGGTACAACGTACCCCCCCCCTCAGGAACCGGTAATTGCTAGCAGATCCAATCCTGACAGACACTTTACAAGCTCTATCATAGACTCTTAACATTTTAGATCTGGAATGGAAAATAGCGACCACTTATTACAATTCTATTATTTATTGAGCACTGATTGCATGCTGGGCCTTTCACATGCACTGTCCCATTTAATCTTTCTAACAATCTTGTATTATTAATGGTACCATTTTGGAGATGAGAAACTGAAGGTCTTAGAGGTTTAATAAGGGCCTTGAACTGGATCTGTTCAGCTCCAAAGCCCATCATTTTAACCACCCAATTTTAAGGCCCAGCGGCGTTCAGTGGCCCCAGGTCACACAACTGGTTAGTGGTAATCCTGAAACTAGACTTCAGTTTTCTTTGTACCATATGACACTTGTTACTACTTGAACCATCTATATTCCTAGAAAAGTGTCAAACTATTCAGTTTCTCATACAAACCCAATGGCTGACTCGAAATCAAAGCTGCTAAGTTATAATTCACCACTAGAGTGGGCATCAAGAAAGAAAGTTTCATATGAATTCTGCATCTATTTATACTTTAACCCCAGTGGGTAAGTTGTAAAAGCATGCCTTTATATTCCTGAGGACATGACAAACCATCAAATTCACACATCATTATGAAACAGATGCTTTTCCTAATTTCTGTTGCTAACCTAAAAGGCATGGCAAAACTAATCATTAATAAAGATGGTCCCTAACTTACAATGGTTCAACTTAACTATCTGTCAACCTTAGGTGGGGTGTAAAAGTGATACACATTCAGTAAAAAACATACTTTGCATTTTGAATTTTGAGGTTTTCTCAGGTTAAGGATACATGGTACGATACCCTCCCATGATGGTAGGCAGTAGCATACGATAAATGAGGATAAACAACCTAAATACTTACAACCATTCTGTACCCATTCAACCATTCTATTTCTCACTTCAGTACAGTATCTAATAAATTATAAGATATGTTCAACACTTCGTTATAAAATAGGCCTTGTGTTAGAGGACTGTGCCCAATTGTAGAGCTAAATTTAAGTGTTCTGAGCACATTTAAAGTAGGCTAGGCTGAGCTACGATTTTCTGTAGGTTCTATGTATTAAGTGCTTTTTGACTTATAGCAGTTTCAGCAGACAGTGAGTTTATTGGGATATAACCCCATCATAAGTCAAGAAAGATCTATCTGTAGCACAGCAGGGATCATGTTGGGGTTTTGTAAGACCAGGCTTGAATTTGCACTCATAAACAGGTAAATGTTACCAATTCATTACTCATCTTCCAATTTCCATGTCACTTGTTAACTCTGTCTTCTGTAAAATTTCACCTGAAGGACCCATTAAGGATATTACAATATGTAAAAAATAGATAACCTTTCCATTTGACAAATGGCTTTTAATTTTCTGTCTTAGTGGTCACCCACAGCAGTGGCTGCTGTGGATAACTTCCTTCATCTCACAAATGACTACCTACCAAAATTAAAGTAGCACATAATGAAATCTGATCTAATAAAAAGTGTGGTTAATTGCTATGCCAAATTATAACATTAATTACTTGATGCAAATAGAAGTACAAAGGGATATTTCCTGAGTGGCTTTAGCTCAGCTTTTGTTTTTCCCTCCCATATTTGTTGCTCACCATCTTGCTTCTCATTTTCTTTCCTTCCTTCTATCTTCCCCCTCATCTCTGCAAAACTCAGAGCTGCGTTTGGTTGTGGGAAAGGGGGAAGGTGAAGGGCAAAATAATTTCAATTGGGGTTAAAACATATCACCAGTAATTCATAGATTGTTCTTTCTCCTAAGGCTTCAACCAGGAGCTTCAGAAGAACTAAAAGTCATATTTCTTTGCCCAGTTATTGGTTTAAGGAAACCAGGGATCACCATGTATTTTACGAAAAAGGTAACTTACCACCATTATCGTTATTGATAAATATTTGTTGAGCATACCATGTGCTTGCAACAGTGCCAAATGCTATATTTTTTGAAGGCTTCAGGCAAGGAAGACAGGCTATTCCTTTTTCTAGTGGGGACTCCCCTCTGAAACTTAATTTTCAGTGCCCCAATGGTTTGAGAGGGTGCATAGAATTATTCCTTATTTAAACATATAATTATACTTCATTTAGATGTTATTATCTCACTTTTATGGAATTGTATGGATTTTAAGTGTTTTGCCCAACTTGCTTTTAGAACAAGCTCTCTTTTCTCACTTTATATACAAAACATCCTAACTGGCTGCATTTGACTTTAAATATCTATGTTAGAAAGACACAGACTCATTTGAGAAACTAAGCATGTGAAAACTAGGAGTAGTAAATATTTATGAATATGGTAATGTTCTCTTTCTTGACCTGGGTGGTGGTTACATGGGTGTGTCCACTTGGTGATAATTCATCAAGCTGTATACTCATGATTTGCACATTTTTCTATAAGTGTGTTTACCTCAATAAAATAACTTAGACATACATATTTATGAAGAGTCCTGACATCCCCTCCCCAAACACATGCAAGCCCACAATCAGAAGAACTGATTTCACAGGAGAGTATTTATTTTTCCCTTTCCTGGAGTCCTCATTTCTTGCCCCAGGGACTTTAACTCTTCAACTTCAATCCAAGAGATTGTTTGTAGGGCCTCCCTCTCATCAGATATTCTCCCTTTACACTTTTTTTTTTCTTTTTCTCAAGGAATTTCTTCTGTTGACTGGGCCTCTGTCTTCTCTAATAGGTCCCTATAATTTCTGTGTTCTTCCTTTTTTGCTCACAGTGTGTTATCCGGCTGCCCTTGCCAATGCCCACAAAGCTTCAGTTGTCCTTTCCCGGGTGCTGGCTGGGTGGCTTTCTCAGGCTTGTCTTCAAGATGAGCTCATGGGATTAAAAATTACTGTGCCTCCTACTTTCTCTCTCTCTTTTTCTCACTATACCTCTGAATCTTGTATTTCCAGCAGATTAAATCCCATGTTTCTTTGCAACGCCATTGAAAAGTACTACTATTGGACATTCTCCCATTTTCAATTGTTTCTTTTTTTTTTAATGTTTATTTATTTATTTTTGACAGAGAGAATGAGACTGAGTGGGGGAGAGGCAAAGAAAGAGAAGGAGAGAGAGAATTCTAGGCTCAGCGTGGAGCCTGATGTGGGACTTGATCCCATGAACTGTGAGATCATGACCTGAGCCAAAATCAAGGGTCAGATGCTCAACCAACTGAGCCACCCAGCCACCCTCAATTTTGTTCCTGTAAGAACCTCCCTGATAAGACTCTGTCAAAATCAAATGAAATAATCTACATAAAATACTTAGTATACATACTAAGTAAAATACTCAGACATATGGTAATCACTCATTAAATAGCAGCTTTTGTTATTGTTAGTAATAGAATGATTAGCTAAGGATATTTTTTGTTTGTTATAACAGTAGGGTCAACTCAAATTCTTAACCTGTGAAAATTGTAATGCCAAGGGAAAAATAAAATAGCAGCTACCATTTATTACATGTTCTGTATCAGGCATTGTTAGGCACTTTACACAAATAGTCTTATTGAAGCCTCTAATAACAGTATGAAATAGATTTGGGGATCCTATTTTAAAATGAGAAAACTGAGTTTTGTAGGGGTTACATCATTTTGCCGGGTCACTTCCAATTAAGCTGAACATGGAGATGTGTTTCTTCTGAAAAAACCACCTTCTTGCAGGATGTGCATCCTGTCAGATTGTGGCATGACACTCGGCCCCTCAATAAGAAGCCATTGGGTTCCAACTACAGAAGAAATCTCAAACCTGACCCTTGCCTCTAAGGAGCAGACAATGGGTAAGTCAACCTTGTCCCAACTTTGTCCAGCGTTTCATCTTTGAGACCTAACGATTTGCAGGCTTCAAGGACCTAATCATCTACTCTTTTGTGTTTGTTGCCTTTAGCATCTCCTCCATCATCCCAAATGAAGAATCATCTTGGAAAATTGTGACAAATTTATAGACTAAAGTTTCTTCTCCGTTGTAAGAATCTTGAGACGTCTGGAATTCTAGACACTGTCTCCTAAAAATTTCCAGGATAAACTTCCCTCCTTCTTTTACTATAGGTGCACTCTACAAAAGAAGGTAGGTTTGAAATGATTCAGACACTAAGACTACAACCCCACTGAGTCATGATCAATGCCTTATGTCTTTGGTCTCCAAAAAGAGGACCTTCAAAATATTCTTTCTTTTTTAAGAAATGGAAGGTGGCATACACCAAGTCTTAAGAGTTACACCCAATTATACACAGGCAATCCTTAGTGAATATTCTAATAGCAACTAGTTTATTTATTTCTCTCCAATTACTCACGTCAGTATCATTATCCAACTTGCTAATGGCTTTCCTTGAAGAGGTTATTTATTCATCTGCTTTGCTTCAGTTATGAAAGATGCACTGTGTCCCTTGAACTAGGGCTGGCTTCTTTTTAAGATTTTCTAGAAGCTTAAACTAGAAGAGTATGAAAAAGCCCTTTTTTATGAGAACCATTCTTTATATCAATTACACTTTTGCTCTGTCATTAATTGTGACTACCTATTTAAGAATGTCTCCACCATTCAGAATGTGGAAAACATGCCAATGGGAAGCTCAGCTCAATGGCAGTTCTGGCTTTGGCTTTGGGCTGGACACCCACTTATGCACAGTATGACTCAGACTCCCTTCTCGTAACGCCTTATCTCTAGACACCATTCTCCATGAATCCTTTTCTCTATTCGTAATCACTTCCAATCCTCATGCTCCTCTGTCTGACCTTCTCTTCCCACAAAAATCCAGAAAGTATGCACTTAATAAACAAACAAATCCATTGACAAAGATAGATGTATTCAGGGCAGCTTTACCAAAATTCAGCTTCAAACTGGTATTTAGCAAAATTCCAGCCAAAATGCTCATTTGTAACTCTAGCCAACTATTTTATTGAAACCAATTCAAAGCCAAACATTTTTTGAATGCCTACAAAGCTACAAAAATAATAAATAATGTTTGGCTATCTTTCAAGCCTTGGGGGATTCAGAGTCCCAATCCCAAAAAGAACAAGAAGGCAAGGTAAAAAGGAAGCAGACATGAAAAAGATTATTGCCCGGAGAGTGACTCCCACCCAGAAATCAGAGAGAGGAAGTTTGTTTGAAGAAACTTGAAGTGGTCCCCACATCTGCTAGGAAATTGGGATATAGAACAGAGCCCTGTTGAAGGGGTTCTTATAAGTCCTCTCACCCATCAGCACCTTATCAGTTGGTTTTCATAGACTTTTCTGCCTTTGTTTTGAGTTAATTTCCAAAAGAGGGATTGCAAAAGACACTCAAATGTAACAAAATTAGTACCACTCCAGCACCAGTGTGAATCTGAGTACCCAAAGACCTGAGCTGTTTCAGAATTCTGACCTGAAGGCTAAGGGAGAACTAGATTTCTAAGCAGCATGTCTCAAATGACAGAACACTTGTATCCATAAAGAAGAGAAAACTGAATTATAAAATGGCTTATGTCAACTCTGGATACCATTGGTTCAGAGAAACCATAAGCATCATGCAAACTCAGAAGCCCCTCAGTGTAGAAATAGATACACCTCTTGGCCAACACCCTAGAGCACCCTGGTACATCATTAATAAGTCAGTAACTTGAGCAAGGCACAGAAGCAGATTTTAAAAACTTCTGGGAAGGAGGCGTCTGGGTGGCTCAGCCAGTTGAGGGTCCGACTTCAGCTCAGGTCATGATCTTGCAGTTCATGAGTTCAACCCCCATGTCAGGCTCACTGCTATCAGTCTGTCAGCGCAATCTGCTTCAGATCCTCTGTCCCCTCCATCACTTGCACTCTCCCAAAAAATAAATAAATATTTTTTTAAAAAGAAAAGAAAAACTTCTAGGAAGGAAGATAATAACGTAAGCATAAATATAAGAGTGGAATTTGGGCACCTCTTCTAAAATCTAGAGGTTGGAAAGGAAAAACAAGTAATTGAGTTAACCAAAGGACATCATGGTAAAATTAAAATAAAACCAGAATTTATTAACTATGTATCAGATTTTGTACCAGGTAGACATTTCCACAATATTATCTCAGTTAGTTGTTAATAATGTCACCCACAAGTATTAACAATGCACAAACTGAATCTCCAAGAAACAAAATGATTCACCTTAAAGCACCACGCTGGTAAGTGTAGTACCAGGAATCACACCCTGCTCTACCTCACTCCAAAGCTCATGTGCTTCCCAACCCCTTATGCCATCTTTCACAGTCAATTGCAGGAGGGTTAATCCTTCCGAGTTTTCAGAAGTTATCTAAATAATTCTGACTCTGAGTAAATAACATGATCTTAAGAGAAATATTGAAATTGCAACTGTCTAAACAGATCCAATGACCTAACAGAAACTTCTGTTACATCCAAATACAAATCTATAGAGAGTAAGATCTAAGAGTTTACAGAATTAAGATCACAAATGCATACATTGCAATGCCCCCAAAGATGCCTGTAGGAATACTTTACTATGGATTTAGAGTCTCCCTTCCTTTGGTAATATCCCTAAAATCCTTGAACAGCATGTATGGTTTTAGAAAGAGCTTACTTCTTGATACTTTGCTACTATTTTTTTAGTTTATCTGGCCTATGGACTAACCAGCCACATTAGCATAGCTTTGTTACCAAAACTTCTTTATATCATTGCCCTCCTTTTCCCTTTTAAATGCCCATCACAACAACCCAGTAAGGTGGGCAAGGCAGCAAAGTTTGTGTCTATACTTTCCCCCTAGTGCCTTCCCCACTGCAGTTGTGGGCATGATATACCCTATGTCTTGGGTTCACCTGCAGCTCTTTATTTTCCTCATCAATGTACAGTACTTCCAGTTATGACCTTTTTCTAATGTTTTCCAGTAGAGGGAAGAAGAACTACATCTTTATTCTTGCTATCTCTTAACAGTCACTTTCAGTGTTAAACCTTCTAGGAAGAAAGGGAAATCAAATCTAGGGTTAAGAGAAAAGAAAAAAAGAACAGGCCTGCATGTTGCTTTGGAGTTGGATCTGATTTATCCTAACCCCTTGAGAAGAAAGACATGAGAAATGATAGGCCCTTGTTTTTTGCTTAGGATAAAATCCTCTATTTCTTTTTGATCCTGAGCAATTTGACTCCAGAAAATAGACATAGACTATATTTTAAATGCTAAAGTTCAGTGAGAAGACATTTTTATTTCTCAACAAGTAGCCTTCTACTTAGGAGTTCATATGAAAAGCAAGATTATATTCTCTTGTTCTTTCTTAATTGTTTTGTAACTTCATATCTCCCTGAATTTTTTCCTTGAAAAGCCTTTTTTCTAACCAAGCAGATTATCATTATCCTAATTCTGTCAAGTCTCAGTTATTTAGGGACAAGTTATGAGCTGGAATCTATAATACTTTGCTTCAACAAACATTTCGTTTAGCTCAACAAACTTTTATTGTGTAACTTTTAAGTAGTAGAGGCCATACAGAGAATTGTATGGCTGAGACTATAAAGATGAATAAGGGTGGTCCTTACATATAGGAGGTCATAGTCTAATGAGGGAGACAACATGTAAGCAAGAAAACATCATTGTGTATAACAGGTGTGAAAATAGAGAGGGTACAAATTGAGCACAGAGAAGGGAGACAGAAGAGAGAAAGTGTCTGGTGTTGGTCTTAGATTGAATGTGTGTGTCAGTCACACAAGGTATGTATGCATGCATATGTGTGTGTATGTTTGTTCAAGGAGGGAGGGAGGAAGAGGAAACTGTCTCAAGTATGTGCAAAGGCATAATACAGCTCATTGGATTATGGAACTTCAAGCAGTTTGTTATAGCTTGAGTCTACAATTTAGGGGAAGAAATGGACTAGTATGAAATGAAACTAGAGAGAAAGGCAGGGCAAATCCCCATCAAAATGCAAATCCTTGCCCTAAACCAGACATACAAAATCAAAATCTGGACACGGACTCTGGGGATCTGTTTGTAACAAGGTCCTCTGATGCTTCTTATACTCCCTGAAGCTGAGAATCCCCACAGCAGATGATGGAGAACCTCTTCAGTCTCTCCCTCCTTCCTTTCTTGATCATTATCCCTATGATTGATCAGCCCCACTCAATGAATTAGAAGGGCGGAGGCTCATAGCCCAATCCAATGTAACTGAATAAAGCAGCATGAGCAAAGGGAAGGACACAGAAACTGCCATCTAAAAAAGGTGAAGACCTGGACCCCCATTATCACACCTGCCCCTTTGGTGAGTATATATATGCTCATTACCTTTTTCACTTACATAATTGTTGTTTGTTGGTTGTTGTTTTTTTTTTTTTTTTTACCTGAGGAACTATTTTAGGGTGTTGTTGGTATTCCCAAATTCCTTATAAAGCTTGCTTATAAATGGTTTTTGAGTGATTGGTTTTATATCCTCCTATACTTACTTGTGTTTCTTATTATGTAAGGATTAAATAGAATAAATCCTTTCTAAATGCAAAAATTAGGACATGATATGCAATGCTGCACATACCAGCAACGTGTGAATATAGGTTTCAATTCACCAAGAGAAGTAGCTTGATAATGTCTCATCAAGAAAAAATCCAGGAGACATAATAACTCTTCAGCCAATGTGCTCAGTGAATAGCGCTATGCTTTTACCCAAGGCACCCATGTGCCTCTGCTCACATGATGCTCTTCTTGCAGGTCTAACCTGGATGGCTGTGAGTTGGCTTAATCTCAGCTGGCAACTGTGAGATGTTCATACAATCCCCCACAGTGGTCTCTGGGATTATGCTAAACAGAGCAATTTCCTTGCCCTCATGGATCAAAAGACTTGTAGGCAACCCAAATTACAGTACGGAATTACTAGCTCATGACAAAAAAAAAAAAGCAAAGTTGCTATGGTTACTGTTTCATGTTCAACCTCTTTTAATCTTACTGAAGTCTTTTCTGAAGTCCCGCTCTACGAGAAAGACAACCAGCCTTGGGAATTAATTTGTCTTTATTGGATTCATGTTCCATTTATAGCACTCCTTTAAGGCTCCTTGGTTTTTTGTTTGTTGTTTTTTTGTAAATCAACCAAGGGAGTTTGGTGTTAGAAGCTAAACCTAAAATGTTTTCCTTCTGAAAGCTCCTCCCACTCTTTCTGGGGGTGCTGTCAGATTCCAAGCAGTCCAAAAGAGGATGATCTGCCAGCCCTACTCAAACTTCAACTGCCCAGATTCTCACACTGAAAGTCTCTTCCTCATTCCTACTATGAACGTTTCACATTCAACTGTCCTAATTGATACTGAAATTTAGAACCAACTGTGGCTCTGGCCTCAAAGACTTTTTTGAGCCATGCCTAACTCCAATTCTTGGTGACCCCTGGAAACAGGGGCAGAAGACTATTCTGGAAAAAGATTGAGAACAAATGTGATTCCTCAGGATAAAAAAAATCAAGGCCAGTTCTCTTTCTCATTCACCCAGCAGCACCAAACCAATTAGATGGAACAAATTTGTAATTAATGTAAGATTAACTTTAGCAACAAAATGTATTAAACATGCTATTTCAAAGGTCTTGGCTGACGTAGTTCCTTGGGTATCTTCAGGAAGAGAAGAAGCCTGTGTGTCTATCCGATTAGATTACACATCTGCTATTGTGACCTATTAGGTTTCCTTGCCAGCAAGTGATGTTGGGTAGTAGGAAGTCAGTTTGAGGACTAGTTATTCCCAGACTAACAGGACAAATACTGAAATATAAGCCAGAAAATAACTTACCTCTGATAAGAAGAGGGCTTCATATTAATCTGCATCACTCATTAGGGCCCTTTAAAGCTATGAAATTCTCCAGATATCATCTGTATCTTCCTGCTAGTTGAAATAGCCTTTTTTTCCCCATCAAACATTAAAAAATTACCAATTCCAATTCTTGGTGACAATTTTTCAAAAAAGATACATTCTTTTTTCAAAAGGAAAGAAAATTAATGTAATTAAATAGGACAAGAAAAAAATTTTAAATAGATGAGCACATACTATGTTTCAGGAATTGTGTTTGTGGTCATGTTGGTACATGCGGTAAGTACTGTAGATGTTTGCAGTACTGTCTACACATCTAAGCACCAGGGGAGCTTTCAGAAAGGCCAAAGGCAAGGGCTTCATCACAGATGAATTAAATCAGAATGACTAGGTGTGGGGCCTGAGCATCACTATTTATGAGCTGCCCAGCAGATTCTAATGTGCAGTCAGAGGTGAGAATCAGTGTATGTGAGTCCAACAAGAAGGCTGTGGATGGAGTGGAGTGGAGTGAAAGAGAAACTGGTAGGAGATGGAATTGGAGCAATAACTGGGTGGTCCATGGTAAGGATTTGGGGTTTTAATGTGAATGACTTGAGAAGCACTGGGAGAGAGTTTTTTAATTAGAGAAGTAGCATGACTTGTTTACTAGGTAACATAGATCGAATAGGATTTTCTCAGAACTTAATAACTTATAAACTCTAAGGAAAAACATGTGTTGTGGGCTCCAAATAGCAACCTTGCAATTAAACTTGAGAAGCACAGACCACAGGACAGGCAGGTTCCTACCAAGAGGAGAGCTAGTATAAAAGACCAAAGAGAAAACTGGCTCTGGAATTAGGAGTCCCAACTCCTTTTTGAAAACTAATTAGCTTTTTTGCTGCTTTAATGGGGGGGGGGGGAATCACGTATCTTTTCAGCCACATAGAATATGACTTGGAAAAAAAAAACTTAAAAATTTTATCACCCTGGTGATAATTAGCATCGAAATAAGGGAAGGCTTTGGCATCTCTGTCAATGAGACACCCAAAATATTGTTGTTGGATGGGATTAGTTTATGACAGTGCTAATAGAGGATAGTGTGCAACAGGGTTCCCAGCCTTTTCCTATGGAGGCTCTGTCTTGCTCACTATATGAGACCTTGTTAGGGCTCCTGGGAACCAAGTCCTCACCTCAATCGCCAGCACCTATAGTATGGCCCTTGTTCTTCCTTGTTACTACCTATACCATGAAGACTATCTACATCATAGTGGAAGAAGCTGGTCTCTCTCCCAGAGCAAGCAAGCAGAGCCTACTGCCAGTCTGCAGGCCTGCACCTTAAATGTGTGCTGAACCTGTGATTCTGATCTGCTGCACTAAACCTGAACTCTATTCCTGCTCAGTGCAGCTAACCATGCTCTCTTCATCCTCCAGCCTGTGTGTTCCTGTCTGATCACAGATTGCAACTCACTGTGGCTCTAAGCATTACTCAGGTCAGACCTCACCTCTACACGTGGATTTGGCTTTGCACATAGGAACCATGGTGACATGTGTCGCCTACAGGCTTCACTATTTGGGGCCCCATGTAAAGGGCATCCCAAGGCTGCTTCTTTAGATCTTGCCTGATTCTTCCCTGACCAGTTGTGTCCCAGTATGTACTGCACATAAACCTGTGGTGCTTAAAACTTGCCCTGAGTGTTCTCTAAGCATCCCTGGCTTTGTCCTCAGGTGTACACTTTGAGCTTGCAGGTGTCCCACCACACCCAGCCCTGGCTTCTACCAGAGTGACAGAAGTCCAGAGATCCATTGATTTCCCCACTGATTTCCTAGTTTTCATACTACCTTCAGTTCCCCAAATGAGCGAAGGTCTCCTTCTGAGCTCATTCCCCTGGACAACTCTTGACTGAACCTTCTTAGTGCTAGAAATCAACATTTCAGTCCTGGCCCAAAAAGTGAAGTAAGATTACCAGCCTTCCTTAGACCATTAGTGCTAGCAGTTCAGCTGTCCCAGGAGGCTGACCTTGGCTTTCAGGTACTGCAGGGAGCCCCATGCTGTAAGCCCAACTTGACAGCAGGTTTTATTTATTCCATTAATGAGAACAAGCTAGCTAGATGGTGGTCATCCTTCTGCCTTCAAAGGATTTTATCGTTCTCTGCTTCTGAATGTATGTAGTAAGGAATGTGGGCAGGCTCAAGTCAGCCAGCAAAAATTCCATCTGCCACCAAGAAGGCCTCTGAAGTCACTGACAAAGTCAAAAAGCCCAAGGCATCCTAGCAGCACCCCTATGCAAGCTAAAAGTGACCCCAGGCTCACAATGTCTGTCTTCTCTGTACATCCAGATTAGAACTTGCTGTGGCCCTCTCCAGGCTGTACTACTGGAGAATAAATAGTCGTTGAATGCTCAGAAAGGCCATCTTTGTCTTCTTTTGTCAATTAATTAAATTCCTTTAATTAATTAATTAAAAAATCAAAACTAAACAACAGAACAAAGAGGGTTTATGTGTCCAGTGATGATTGCAAGATCTCAGGAAGTCTACAGCTGTCCATCCTATTTAAGACAGAGCTGTCTTCCATGAAGGTGGAGCAGGGTTAAAGAAACCTTTACTGGTTACAGATTCAATCCTCTATTGGCTAGAGCACTTTGATATTAGTAATCTTGCCAGGTACCCAATTTGTACCTGTATAACCCATTCTTCTAAATCATTTTTGAAGCCCAAACTTCTCCTTAAAAACACACTTTCTTTTGGGGGTTATGGCATTATTTAATTTATAGTCAAAACCTGCTGCACTTGTATCCCACACTCTACTAGCAATGAACATTGATAGTCTGGAGGGGGTAAGGATGGAGAAGGTTCCAAGCTCAGCCAACATGCTTGACCACAAAACCTGGTTTCAAGTTCTCTCTGTAAGGTACAGCTGCTTTTCATGTTTCATTCAACAAGTACTTAATGCCAGTGAGGTACCAGGCCCTGTATCGGGAATGCAAGAGTAAACAAACCATCCCTACCCTAGTAGGGAGCTGATTGTGAAACCAATCATGTAAATATCTCCATTGTAATTATAGATGGTTACCTGCTATGAGCAAAGGATGGGGAGACCTCATCTGAACAAGCTGAGGTTGAGATTCGAAGAATGGGTAGGAGTTGTGGGAACAGCATGGTGAAAACCTTGGGAGAAGGGAGGAGTTTGATCAACTCTAGGAACAGATAAGTCTGCCACTTAGCTGTACAACATTTTTGTCACCTGGAATGGACATACCAGGAGGCTCTCTCTAAAAAAACCTCTGGGAGATCTTCCAGAAAAAGTGACCCTCTTCTTTTTGGTTCTATTAGAGACACCTCAATTACTGGGAGATGCCCTTGGCCTATACAATGCTCCAAAGATTGCTCAAAACTGTAGCCTAGATTTTGACATTCTCCTGTTTCATAGCAGCCTGTCTCTGAGTTGTCTTTCCTTACTATCATTTTGCTCCATCTACAGGCAGACTAGCTCTATTTCCAAACTCAAGT